GCCATGGCACACAAATAGATAAAAATACCAAAATACAAGGGGAGATACAAAATGCACACATACAAATTTCAAAACACAATTCCTTATCTTAAAGTGAAAGAAAGAGGAAGGAAGAAAAGGTAGAAGAGGAAAAACATATCCAAGGAGGGGAGAGCAACTGCAGGCAAGAGGAAAAGGGACTTTCTGCTACAACGTAGTGCCCATATTTAAAAAAGGGGAAAAGGAGGATCCAGGGAACTACAGACTAGTCAGCCTTACCTCAGTTCCTGGAAAAATCATGGAGCAGATCCTCAAGGAATCCATTTCTAAGCACTTGGCAGAGAAAAAGGTGATGAGAAACAGCGTAGATTCACCAGCGGCAAGTCATGCCTGACCGACCTGATTGCCTTCTATGATCAGAAGTGACGGACTCTGTGGATGTAGGGAGACCAGTGGATGTGATATACCTCAATTTTAGCAAGGCTTTTGGTAACAGTTTCCCACAACATTCTTGCAGGCAAGTTAAGGAAGTATAGGCTTGATGAATGGACTCTAAGGCGGATAGACATTTGACTGAAGCATCAGGCTCAGAGAGTAATAATAGCTCACTGTCTAGTTGGCTGCTGGTATCAAGTGGAGTGCCTCATGGGTCGGTCCTGGAGCCAGTTTTGTTCAATGTTTTTATCAACGACCTGCAAGACGGCATAGAGCGCAACCCTAGCAAGTTTGCAGATGACATCAAGCTGGGGGGAGTAGTAGATATGCTGGAGGGTAGGGCTAGGATTCAGAGTGACCTAGGAATTGGAGGATTGGGCCAAAGGCAATCTCATGTGGTTCAACAAGGACAAGTGCCAAGTCCTGCTCTTAGGTTGGAACAATTCCATGCATCGGTACAGGCTGGGGGCTGACTGGCTGGGCAGCAGCTCTGCAGAAAAGGACCCGAGGGCCACAGTGGACCATAAGCTGAATATGAACCAACAGTGTGCCCTTGTTGCAAAGAAGGCTAACAGCATACTGGGCTGCATCGGTAGAAGTGTTGCCAGCCGGTCAAGGGAAGTGATTATTCCCCTCTGTTCAGCACTGGTGCGGCCACATCTGGAGTACTGTGTTCAGTTTTGCCCCTCGCACCTTACAGAAAGGATGTGGGCAAATTGGAGAGAGTCCAGCGGAGAGCAACAAAAATGGTGAGGGGACTGGGGGACATGACTTGTGAGGAAAGCCTGTGGGAAATAAGCTTATTTAGTCTAGAGAAGAGGAGACTAAGAGGAGATTTAATAGTAGCCTTCAACTACCTGAAGTGGGGTTTGAAAGAGGATGGTACTAGACTCTTGTCAGTGTTGGCAGATGACAGAACAAGGAGCAACTGTCTCAAGTTGTAGCAAGGAAAGTTTAAGTTAAATATTAGGAAAAAAATTCTTACTAGAAGGGTAGTGAAACAGTGGAACAGGTAGTAGAATCTCCATCTTTGGAAGTTTTTAAGACCTGGCTAGACAAAACTTTGGCTGGGATGATCTAGTCGGGGATGGTCCTGCTTTGAGCAGAGGGTCGGACTAGATGACATCCTGAGGTCCCTTCCAACCCTTATTTTATATGATTCTACAGTCTTTGTGAAGGGCCTCTTCAATATACCTATACACTGCTTGATCTGCAACCAACTGAATCACTGGTATCTCCAGGTCAGCAACTTTTTGGCACTCTGCTTGGAGGCTGTGCATAACATTTAACATTGTATGTTTCCCACTTCAAGACATTTCTTTCAAGACAGCAATGATATCCATTAAATGCTTGGGACCTTTCCATGTGGTTGCATCATTTCAAGAAGTGTGTGGGCCAGTGCACCACTATTCCATCAAAACTAACCTTGAATCTTTGTGCTTGTGGTTGAGCTCATAATTTTTGGTGATAACTGGGCTGACTAAGCTCATAATTTTTGGCGATAACTGGGCTGACTAAACTTTTCTGAACATCAGGTTTTTGTATAACCAAGGTGGTTGTATCTGAAATGGTTAATTCTTGGTGAAATTAAATTGGTTGTGCCATAATTACATTTGTATAATAGCTTATTTTGGAGCCTGCTAACCCATCTTCATTGAAATCACCATTATCCAAGACAACAGTACAAGGCTGGCCTTTAATTTCACTTGGATACAACTGACCATGCTGAATTTATTGTGGTGTCTCTACTGTAAGTTTTGAACTATGGTCAGA